TCCTTCCTTCCTTCCTTCCTTCCTTCCTTCCTTCCTTCTCCTTCCCTATTCTCCTTCCTCCCTTCTTTCCTTCTTTCATTTTTTATTTATTTTTATTGATTTGATTTGTCAATCGCTTACAAGATAATAGGTATAAATATAAACATGAGTAAGAATACAGGAAATAGGTAACAATAAATGGGGGCGATAGGGCAAGGACAGTAGGCACAATGGTGCACTTATGCACGTCCCTTGCAGGCCTCTTAGGAATGGGTATTCTCTCCCTTTCTTTCCTTCCTTCCTTCCTCCCAATCCCTCCCTTCTTTTCTCTTCTCCCTCCATTCTTTTCTCTCTTTCCTTCCTTCCTTCCTTCCTTCTCATTTTCCTTCTTTCTTTCGTCCCTCCCTCCCTTCTTGTTTTCCTTCCTTCTCTCCTTCCTTCTCATACCTATCACCTTTTTCCTTCCTTCCTTCCTTTTTTATTTATTTATTTTTATTTGATTTGTCAATCGCTTACAGGATAATAAGTATAAGTATAAACATGAGTAAGAATACATGAAATAGGGACGAATAAATGGGGACAATAGGACAGGGACGGGAGGCAGGATGGTGCGATTATGCACGCCCCTTACAGACCTCTTAGGAATGAGTTCTTCTCTCCCTTCCTTTCCTTCCTTCCTTCCTTCCTTCCTTCCTTCCTTCCTTCCTTCCTTCCTTCCTTCCTTCCTTCTCCTTCCCTGTTCTCCTTCTTTCCCCTTCCTTCTTTCCTTTCTTCCTTCATTTTTTATTTATTTTTATTTGATTTGTTGATTGCTTACAAGATAATAGGAATAAGTATAAACATGAGTAAGAATACAGGAAATAGGGACGAATAAATGGGGAAAATAGGTCACGGACGGTAGGCACGATGGTGCACTTATGCACACCCCTTACAGACCTCTTAGGAATGGGTATTCTCTCCCTTCCTTCCTTTCCTTCCTTTCCTTCCTTCCTTCCTTCCTCCCAATCCCTCCCTTCTTTTCTCCCTCCCTTCTTTTCTCTCCTTCTTTTCTCTCCTTCCTTCCTTCCTTCCTTCCTTCCTTCCTTCCTTCCTTCCTTCCTTCTCCTTCCCTGTTCTCCTTCTTTCCCCTTCCTTCTTTCCTTTCTTCCTTCATTTTTTATTTATTTTTATTTGATTTGTCGATTGCTTACAAGATAATAGGTATAAGTATAAATATGAGTAAGAATACAGGAAATAGGGACGAATAAATGGGGACAATAGGACAGGGGCGGGAGGCAGGATGGTGCGCTTATGCACGCCCCTTACAGACCTCTTAGGAATGGGGTGAGGTCAATAGTGCATAGTTTGAGGTTAAAGTTTTTGGGGTTTGAGGATGTGACAACAGAGTCAGGCACAATAGAAATCCATTTTTGAGTGTGATTCACAAGCAGGAAGAGGATTATGGGATGCGGGGAAGGGATGAGGGTGGGTGGTTGGGGGGAGCCTTACGCAAAACCCCAGCCATGCCAGACCCAAAACTTTCTTCTCTCTCCCCACCACCACACAGGTTTTACAAGCTGCACGAACGAAAATGTGAGCCCATTGTTATGACTGTACCCCGAAAAGTGAGTCTTTTATGAATGGGACGGCCCAATTGTCTGGTATGGAGTAGTAGGGTCTCTCGCCTGAGCAGGGGGGGTTGGACTAGAAGACCTTCAAGGTCCCTTCCAAGTCTGTTATTCTGTAGATCACTTTAGATCACTTGCATGGGATTCAAACCGAAGGACAGAAAGACTTTTACTGTGGAACCCCAAATCTCCATTATAAAGGATGTGAGCATCCTTCAGCCTGCATCTAGCCTGTTGTTGCATTTCATCCTTTTTCCTTGCAGTGCTTCTAACTTTAAAATGCAATGTCTTCAAACTAAAATGTATTTGCCAACCTTGGCAATCTTTAAGATGGGTGTATTCCCTTTCCCAGAATCCCCCAGCCAGCCTGCTTTAAGAGGGGTGGGCTTCCACTCCCAGAATCCCCCAGCCAGCATCCTTTAAGAGGGGTGGTCTTTCGCTCCCAGAATCCCCCAGCCAGGATGCTTTAAGAGGGGAGGGCTTCCATTCCCAGAATCCTCCAGCCAACATACTTTAAGAGGGGTGGTCTTTCACTCCCAGAATCCCCCAGCCAACATACTTTAAGAGGGGTGGACTTCCACTCCCAGAATCCCCCAGCCAGCCTGCTTTAAGAGGGGTGGACTTCCACTCCCAGAATCCCCCAGCCAGCCTGCTTTAAGAGGGGAGGGCTTCCACTCCCAGAATCCCCCAGCCAGCATGCTTTAAGAGGGGAGGACTTCCACTCCCAGAATCCCCCAGCCAGCCTGTTTTAAGACAAGTGGACTTCCACTCCCAGAATCCCCCAGCCAGCCTGCTTTAAGAGGGGTGGACTTCCACTCCCAGAATCCCCCAGCCATCCTGCTTTAATAGGGGAGGACTTCCACTCCCAGAATCCCCCAGCCATCCTGCTTTAAGAGGGGAGGGCTTCCACTCCCAGAATCCCCCAGCCAGGATGCTTTAAGAGGGGT